TTGGGTGTCGGTAGAAGGAGTGTGCTTCCTGTGCAAATGTTTCCTTGTTTTGTGTTCAAGGATGCACCAACATATTAAAATATGCTGTTTCAAGTGACATATACCAGAATATCCTCGAATGCACAAGGAGGGTTTCTAACATCCACTGCCCCTTAATAGACATATCTAAAGTCTGAAATTGCTATGAGTTATAAGGGTCATTTATTACAATATAAATGTTATTTTTTATTTTCTTCCCTCTCTCTATTTTTCTTTCGACCTTTCGTTCCTTTGCCTACCAAATAGCTCTCTTCACATATCTTTATTTGCAGCCTTAGCAAGCAACAATCTGCATGTTTGTGCTGGCACTATCAGCTTCCTTATTCAAAATTAAATTAATAAAACCCTTCACGTCACACTCGGCGGAAAGGTACAATTGCTATAATATAAAAAAAGAAAAAACGACATTGAATAAAAGTAATTTTTATGTAAAGTAATGAAGATTAATTCAAAACGGCAAGGAGCATGCAGGTGCATTCAATTCAAAAAAGCTAAAATCCTTAAAGTACTACGGTTTAATGGCCAATCTTTGTTTGCTTTCACACTTTCTGATCTTGGATGTTATGCATTCTACTTCCTTGTAGTGAATCTAATTTAAACACTCCTTGCTTGCTGCAGTGAATAAGAAATTTGTTTTTGAATTCCTATGAGGAAGACTGTAATTTGGAGGTCTTTCCAACTGCCACTGACGGACAGATGCTTTGTGTTCTCTGTCAAAAGAAAATATATTGCAAAAGGAGTCAACAAAATCTGAACAGCTGCCAAAGATTTGTTTCTACTGAGTGATTCTGGACCTGCTGTCTCATACATGGTTAATGTGTGTTGCTGATTTGATCCTTTCGCCCCTTTCCTTTTTTGAATATTTATGTGTGTTTTCATGAGCAGGAAGCGGTGCCATTGAGCGCCCACTCACAAGCTGTCGGCATTAGAAACCCAGAGGCGGATGCTCCTCCTGATCTGTCCCACTCAAAGAACAACAGTAAGACCTCCTCCCTCTCTGTCTCTTTCTCTCGCTTTCTCTGAATCTCTATACACTCTCTGTGGCTCACACACTACCGTTCTGTTTAACTGTCTCCTCCCCCCCAACAGCCTCTCTACTCTGTGCAAATACAACTTTACAAAAGAATGAGTCATTTCCTGACTCACTTGGTATTTTAGCTGTTTGTTTAGAGGAGCGAAGACTTAATGAAATCAAACTACCAAAACCCACAGAATGAAAATCGTTTTTTATTGGATTTTTGTTTTGGTTATCCAGAACTACATTTATAAAGAGATGTACTTAGTGAATACATTACTGCAACACACACTGGAAAAGTTAATTATTGATATATTTGTGTTAAAGGTCCCATGTCATGGCCATTTCTACTGATCATAATTCCATTGTTAAGGTATACTAAAATACATTTACATTGTGTAATTTTCCAAACCCACATTGGTTTCTCATACAGCATCTCTGTATAGTATGTGTATTCACTCTCTGTCCTAAACGGCTTGTTGGAGCTCCTGCCCCCCCCTCCCTATGAGTCCAGTGGCCGTCTGCGAGACACCGCGGAACTCAGCCTGGGCACACACACACACACCCGCAGTCTGGCTGGGAGTTTGTGTGTGTGCGCCCAGGCTGAGTTCCGCGGTGTCTCGCCGACCCCACACCAGTGAGCCAGCTCACATAGTCCCGCTCCTCGCAGCAGCAAGCCTCGCAACGTCCCACCGAGTGTGTGTGTGTGTGTGTGTGAGGAAGTCCGCGGATTGGTCCAAACACAACAGCTCCGCGGACGTAACGTAACAGCTCCGGATTGGTACATTTGGACCAATCTGCGAAGCAGTTATGTTACGTCACTATACCTGAAATACGTCACTATACCCAAAAAGTAAACAATGGAAAAAGAGAAATCTCCAACGAGGCGTTCTGGGGCAGCATAGACAGGTCTTTTCTGTGTTAGAGTTTTATTCCCTACAGGGTGTACTTTGAGGGTTTGTGACTCTGCAGACCGTTTACATCAGGGCTATTCAATTACACATTCAGTTGGGCCAGATTTTATAACTAAAAAATGCAGCTGGGCCAGACATTCAGCGGCCTGTAAAAAGCGGTTAATGACTGTAAGGGAAACTTCTGCAGCAATGGAGAGTCAGGACTCAGAGAGACACGAGGAGAGTTGGAGCTTTGATGTCAAACAATGATAGTTTATTACAAGTCAACGGCCGGAGAATTCAAAAGTCACAGCAGCAAAATGTTCTGACTGCACGGGTGGGTTGTCATGTCAATTCTGATCAGCCTCGCATTTTGGTAGACCTTATAACTAGTTTACAGAGAGTCAAATCCACATATTGGGGATGGGCGTAAACATCTGCAGACACAGTAGATGTCTCTCACATCTGTGGAGCTTAGAAAGCCAGCGTTCTCACACTCGCAAAACCCCCTATGTCCGCTAGGTCAAGCCATAAAACTTATAGTATCAACATACGACTGCATTATCACATTCCTTACGGAAGATAAGGAGCAGGGCTGATCGTAAATGTCAACACACAGAAAATGTTAAAATATTTAGGAGTAAAGACAGAATTATTCTGTAAATGACAAATTTTAAACCAACACATATTACTGCGATGAAAAACATGCAATTTGTATTCATTGTTCATCTAACAAAGGTACGTCAAAAAGTGCATAAAAACACAACAAATGTGCATTAATTTAACAGAATCTGAGGCATCTCAAAGTGTATTAAAAAAAAAGTGCACTTAGCATTACATTGGTTTGCTTTAGAAGTCAAATATTCAGGTTATTTTTTTTTAACCAGGCACATCACAAAGTGCATTTAACTGAATACAATAATAGCAGTCTTAATAAATGTCCTCACTTACAAAATAAAATTGGATACACATGCACATCAAAAAGTGCATTAACAAACAGTTAAAGAGCTCCAATGTAACAAAAAGAGGTAGTACTCTAGCAATAGGCCTACTATTTTTTCACTTTTCAAGTAAAAACAAAAATCACATTGTTTTGATCACATTTGACCCAGACACATTACAAAGTGCATTTAAATGAATACAAAAATAACTGTCAAACCCTTCAGTGCACAAACCCATAACAAGGGATAAGGGTAACTATAAATGAATACTACACTACAGTGACTACACGTCTAAGTATAGTAAACTAGGTGCTTACTATCACCTCATTTGTGATTTGTCATCGCTGACTTTCTCAATGGGAGAAGTGAAATGTTTTGTTTTGAACAAGAGCAGTGATTTTTGGCTCATAGGATGCCAATGCAATCCTAAGACATTGGTGAAGAGTGCCGTCAGTCAGGGAGCAGCGAGTGCTACTTTTGATTGAGTTCATGTGTGAAAAGCTTGATTCACATTTGTATGTTGATCCAAACATACTGAGCACACAGATCGCTACTTTCTGAACGTTAGGGAACTGCTGTTTTTTGACATCACTCCAAAACTTTGCGCTGCTCTTGTGCCATGGTTACGGATGAATGCATAAGTTCCAGGGTAAATTTCCCCTCGTCGGTGGAGGGGACCACTTCCTTTGCTCTGGTTGATACGTCCCCCTCTATTGCAACAGTGAAGGGGTCTCTGGCAAAGCCCATCACCTCTGTGGGCAGAGCAAGTCCATCCAATCGACCGGCAAAAGTTCTCTTTCAACCTCGTAATGAAATCTGTCATCACATCCGTGATTTGTGCCGGGGATGTGATGTGTTTGAGGAGCGTCGGAAAATGCAGCATCCGACCCGTACTCAAGTCGGTCGCAAAAAGGTCCAGCTTGACTTGGAATGCGCGCATCTGCTCCACAAGATCAATGACCGTTTTGTCTCTGTTTACGCTTCAGAGTTGAGAGAGACATGTTTTGGAGTTGCCATCATAGGACCACCGTTACTAGCACCACTAGATGCACTTTCAAAAAACGTGTTGCGTTGTGGTTTGGTGGTTTCTATGCAACGCGGAGTGTTGCGTTCATGGTCTGTACTAGTGTAGGAATTTGGCCACGGGAGGCTGGGCCACTCGGGAGTTGGTTCTGGGCCGCATCTGGCCCGCGGGCCGCCATTTGAATAGGCCTGGTTTACATGCATAAAAAGCTACATAACACACAAGGGGACGGGTAATAACCAGAAAAGCATGACATGGGACCTTTAACTGATGGCTGTTTTTTGGATATAATGAATATTCACAGAAAGGACAAATAAAGTATATTTTTCAGATGGATTTTCATAAAAAGACATATAAATAAATGAATAAAACACACAAACCATTAGGTAATAATAGACAGGGCTCAAATTAAAAATGTGAATACATTTAAGTAAAAAAATAAACATTTGCATGCAGGTCACACTGAGCTAGTGTTTTCTGGTGTTGTCACTCTGGGAAATGTATTATTACAGCAGCTAATGACACACTACCCTGTTACACAATACTTCACACCAATATTCTTCCTCTTGTTTACACAGATGGAGAGGCTCTTGTGACTGAAGAGTCTCCCTCCTGTGATCCAGCCCAAAATCAGAGCAGATCACCTGAACAAGAACCAACAGTCCCACCAAGTAACACCCCTCCCACAGAAGTTCCTACAGACAGCACAACACCTGGACCAGATGAGACCATTACCCAGACTGAGAGGTGAATGAAGAAACATTTTGAATTCAATGCACATGAGCAGAGTATTAGACTGATACTCCAGATGTATTCAAGTATAGCATATCACAAAACTGGTTTATTACACTAACTTCAGAAGAGTGGTCAAACATTGAATAATCCCCCTCTATATATTCTATAATAATTAAACATTTTATAAAGAGAGAGCGAAAGAGGTGACGCAACAAGTCTTTCTCAATATCCCCAGTCATTGTCATTTCCCCATGATACATCTGACGTTATAATATCTGACTGACAAAACAGGACTTTCCAAAACAAAGAAGGCGGAATGAAAACGGAACCGGAAGTTTAATCACAACAGACTGTTTTGTACCTGGAGACCTGGTTGTTTATTGGCAATAATGACGCAATGTAATTGTTAGAAAAATATCACTTGACATCAGGTTTAGAATCAATGATCAGGTAACTAATTTATTCTTGCAAGAAGGAGCAGAGTTAAATCACATACAAAGGATATGGTTTAACTCACACATATGGGGTATGTTACTCAAAGGAACAGCAAAAAACATCAGGCTTATATAGTCCAAAACACAGGAGATAACAACAAAGTCGTAAATCGAGGTGGCGCTAATATCAGCCGCGGGTGTCAGAAAGTCGGGTCATCTGCGATGGGTCATCTGTGACGTCTTCTGGAAAGAGTCACGTACTTCCTTCACGCTTCATATAAATGAGATATTTAGGAGACAGCAAGTCTGTCTTCTCATAAATATCACAAGATCACAAGAAGAGGCAGGTCATACACAGTTCAGAGCCACACATGATATCAGTGCATTAAAACAACCCAAAGAGTGGAGAAAACAGTATTTCTCCAACATATCCCTCCTGTTTATACTATGGAATAACATAGAACTTGGAAAAATACAAATGATTATAAAAGATAAAAAATTCTTATACAAAAGTACCCAAACGGCTGAGGTAGGTAGATTGTATAGGCACATGTTTTAATGTAATCCGAATGGATGCCATGGCCTAATTCTTTCTCTGTACATCGTCAGTTTCTATCACTCAGACCCGTTACTGTTTCCCTGCTAACGTCCACTCTTTAAATTCTACTGGGTTCTGTTGGTTTCTTCACTGGTTTGAGACAAGTGCCCTTATTGGAATCACCTCCCTTTGTAGCCAGACTTCACCACAGTAGAGGCGAGTTTCTGTCTTTAGGTTTAAACAGCTTCACAGTCAGATGTATCCAGGATGGTCTCTCCGCCACTCTAACTGCAGTCGGTGTCGACAGGAGTGCTTGGTAGGGACCCTCCCACTTGGGCGAGTGCCAGCTCTTCCTCTTTATCGCTCTGGTGAACACTCACTCTCCTGGTTTCACTGTCTGTGTGGTGTCAGGTACTTCCTGTGCAGAGGGGACAAACAATAACATTTGTGATCTCTTTTCTTCTCAAAATGTTTTCCATATATTCTGCTGTGTTTTCACTTATACTCTCGTCCTCTCTTACAAATGGTTTTAACTCAGGCAGATAATATGGTCTTCCATATAACATTTCAAAAGGTGATAGCCCTCTAGCACTAGGTAGGATGTGCATGCTTAGCATCACTGGTGCTAAGCATCTCATCCATGTTTTCCCTGTCTCGGCCATCATCTTCTTCAGTTTAGCTTTTACTGTACCATTATTTCTTTCTATCAACCCTGCTGATTGTGGATGATGAGAATGTCGTTTTAATTGTATTCCAAATACAGCTGTCAAATACTGAATTACTTTATTTACAAAGTGTGTGCCATTATCACTATAGATCTTTTCCGGAATTCCAAAACGTGGGATTATGTGATTTGTCAAGGCTTTAGCCACTGTCAATGCATCCGGATTCCTAGTTGGAAAAACTTCAATCCATTTTGAGTACATGTCAATGATTGTTAGACAATATTTCATTCCCTCATATTTATTTAGTTTAATAAAGTCCATGCAAATGTGCTGAAACGGATACTGGCTCCGGTATTTTACCTCTCTTTGGTTTGAACTGTCCCTGAGGGTTATACTGTGCACACACAGAACATGCTAAACAATTTTTTTGAGTAGTTTGTAAAGCCATAGGCTGTGAATATCTTCTGTATTACTTCCACCATCCCCACTGTTGAGCCTTGGTCTGGCTCAATATAGCTGCATATCAAAATAAGCTATTTGGTAATACAAATTTGCGTTCTGTACTTTCCCATAACCCCTCTTTATTCTGTGTACACAACTTCTTCTTCCAGTATATATTTCTTTGTCAGGTGCATTCGCTTGTATGTCTTTTAGGATGTCATGATCAATGTGTTCCATATTTTCAGAAATATATTGGTCATTGTCCTGTCACTGTCTTTGGGCTGCTTTCTTAGCCTCTTCATCTGCCTTTCGGTTCCCTGTGGAAATTGGGTCCGTCCCTGTAGTGTGTGCTGCACACTTACAGACCGCCACTCTCTTAGGGAGTTGTACTGCATCCAAAAGTGATAGGATTAAATCTTTATGTGTAATAGATTTGTTTGTGGATGTTACCATCCCCCTATTTTTCCATTGTTGTGCAAACACATGTATACATGAATAAGCATAGTTGCTGTCTGTATAAATGTTAACTGTCTTCCCTTTTCCCAGTTTTCATGCCTCTGTTAGTGCGATTAGTTCTGCTGCCTGTGCTGATAAGTGAGACGGCAATGCTGCGCCCTTGAGCAGTTTCGTCTGTGTCACTACAGCATAACCTGTTGCATTAGTTCCATCAAGATTCCTCTTACATGAACCGTCAACATACATTGTTATGTCTGCATCTGGGAAGGGAATGTCCGTCAGGTCTGTCCTTGGTAACACTCTGTTCTCAGTTTCTGCGATACAGTCATGTGGCTCCCCATCTATCTCTACTGGCTGTAGTGTAGCTGGATTTAAAGTAGTACATCTCTCGATAGTAAGATTTGGTTGTGATAACAACGTAGCCATGCATGCTAAATGTCTAGCTGGTGACATATCGGTTTGTTTATTTTGTAACAATAGTACGGACACTACGTGAGTTACTTTTAGAGTCAAGGATCTAAAAAGCACTATTGTTGCAGATGCCTGTACTGCCATGGAGGATGCTATTACTGCTTGTAAACAAATGGGCATTGCTCGAGCTATGGTGTCCAACTGTGAGGAGTAAAATGCCACTGGTCTATTTTTTCCCCCCCATGTAGTTGAGTGAGTACTAACGTCATAAATCCATTCTTACAATCTGCTGTTTTGAACAAACGGTTTTGCATAATCTAGTTACATCTATTCCCATTACTTTTAAGGTAACAAATGGTTTCTCTACGTGAGCCAGCATTAATTCTACTGTACCTAATTCTAAAATCTCCACTTCCTCATCCGATGAGCTGATAGACACGTTATCTGAACTTGCTTCTGTGTCACCGTCAAGGTCTGAGTCATTTTGTCTTAGGTCATCTTGATTTGGGTTATCTTGTTTTGTAGTTGTTTCTGTTTGACTTTCTACGTTAACCTTTTTCATCTGTTCAGGGTCTATGTTTGGGTGTGATAATACATGACCTGATTTTGCAGATGCACTTGGCTCTAGTCATGCCTTCTCCACCCAGTCTTCCGTTCCTTCCTGTGGCCTCTTTGCTCTGCAGTCGTTTTCCCAATGTCCAAATTTGCCACACAAAAAGCAACTTCCCTCCGGGAATTTTCCTCCACCTCGTGCCCCACCTCGCCCTCCACCTCGTCCGTCCCTTCCGCCACGGCCCCGTCCACACCCTCTTTGATCACATCGGAAAAGCAATTCAACAGAACATACATTAGAAGTGTAATCATCAGATTCATCCTGTGTTAAAAACACGGCAGTTTGCTTTTGTTTCTTTTTTTCTTTTCTTTTGTTTGCCAATTTCACCACATTCAGTTTAAATGCCCCCCTTAGAAAATCAGTCACATTCCCTGATATATTCATAACTGGCATAACGGGCATTCTGAATGTCTTACCTGACTGTGTGTTGCTGGGTTCCTCCCTCATGCCGGCTGTTCTCTGCGCGGGAGCATGAGGGTCGGTGTGTGGAGGTGGTTGGTAGGGCGGAGCGGGTGGCCAAGGCAGCGGAGTCGGTGGGGGAGCAGAGGGGTGAGACGAGCAGGAGGCCAGGGGTCCGAGGAGATCCCCGGGGTGTTGAGCTTGTGCATGGTTTTCATCTATTCATTGCTCCTGCATCACAGCAGGTCCCACAGGAGGGAGATACGGAGGAGGGGGCTGGCGGCATCTGCATATCACTTGATCGTCAAGTTTCTCGGAATAGGGGAGATTAGGATACAAGTTATACAAAACCTCATTTTCTAATTTCTCATTTTCTGATTTAGCTGTTTCCTCAGCATTTTCCCTTTCTCTCCTTCTCCTCTCTACCTCTCGCTCATGTCCTTCCCTTCTATTCCTTGCTTCGGCTAACCACAGCATAGCCCCTAATAAATCCTCTTCTTCCTCCCTTTTTCCATTCCCATTACATTTGTTCTCGATGCTATCAATCAATTGTTGGCATTCCTCTACCACTAACCTCCCTTGGAAGTCGTATTTATTTTGCCACTTTTTAATCGCTTCACACTCGTTCTATGCGATCATCTGCATTCATTTAGCAGCTCCTGATAAGATGACTGTCTGTTTCTATCTTCTTCCCACGGGTCTTGCTGCAGCATGAACCCATGATTAGACTTCTATAGTTTTCCCCAAAACGAAGTAAATATGCCCTATAGCTTACGCATAAACTATAAAACTCACAACGGTTTTAGCAAAACCCAGAAAACTAAACTGTCCTAGTTTTCCCCAAAACTAGGTAAAATACTCATAGCCGTACCTCGTACTCTAAGCTCGCAATAGTTTTAGCAAAACTAAGAAAACTAAACTGTCCTAGTGTTCCCCAAAACTAAGAAAAACCCATTGCCGTACTTAGTCACCCACTATAAAATAGCCGTACCAAAACTAAGAAAATGTGCCCTATAGTCCACCCACGAACTATAAGATCCTTTAGTTTTTTTAAGAAACTAAAAAAACTGGCCTCATAGTTTGAACCACAAACTACTTATACCCAAGGCCTCTAGTTTGAAACCACAAACCATTTAAAAGTACTTTAGATAAGTTTACCTGTGTCTTTCTAGGACTTTTTTGGTATCCTTCCGCGAACCAAGGGGTTGAAACCAAAACGGTGCCTGTATTGACTTTCTCTCCTGTGTCGGTAGTTCAAGGATCCGTCACTCCTCTCCTCTCCAGCGTAACCTGGCCCCCCTATTTACCAAATTGTTTCTTTGTAAGGGAAACAAGGTAGGGGTCTTTTTCTAAGAGTCTCTCGACTCCCTGTGCACAGTGTCAGGCTCGTTTGTCCGGAGAAAAAAGGAGATCTTGGATCCGGCTCGAAGGACCAATATGTTAGAAAAATATCACTCGACACCAGGTTGAGAATCAATGATCAGGTAACTAATTTATTCTTGCAAGAAGGAGCAGAGTTAAATCACATACAAAGGAGATGGTTTAACTCACACACATAGGGTATGTTGCTCAAAGGAACAGCAAAAAACATCAGGCTTATATAGTCCAAAACACAGGAGATGACAACAAAGTCGTAAATCGAGGTGGCGCTAATATCAGCCGCGGGTGTCCTAAAGTTGGGTCATCTGTGACGTCTTCTGGAAAGAGTCACGTACTTCCTTCACGCTTCATATAAATGAGATATTTAGGAGACAGCAAGTCTGTCTTCTCATAAATATCAACAACCTGAAATGCCCTCCCTCCTCCTGTCACAAGAAGAGGCAGCTGCAAGGTCATACACAGTTCAGAGCCACACATGATATCAGTGCATTAAAACAACCCAAAGAGTGGAGAAAACAGTATTTCTCCAACAGTAATGGTTAATGTAGACAATTAAAAAGAACCATTTACTTTATTGCACCTACATACAGCAGACACCTGTTCAATCCCACCTCCTAAGGTGCACCAATCGCAACCTTCCATAGTCAGGAAACTGACTCTACCTCACAGCCTCACCCTGCACCCTGACTCATTTTCATACCAGTGTGAAGTTTCCTTGCTATATAATGATGTTGATTGGTGTGAGCCACAGTTGAAGTCACCCTTTTGAAGTTTTGCTAGTCAAATGGGTGTTTTCCTTCGCTGTGGGAGGAGTGTGTTCTGCAGCCGTGCTTTGCATATGCACAGTCCACCTACAGAGAGACAAAGGTTGTTCCTCATCTCTCTTACCATTGCATACTGTAACTGCTGTTTCATTATCGGTAGCAAGTGCATGTCATGCATACATCAAGAATGTGAACATGGCAAGTGCTTGACCTTTGACCTTCCGCTTTGTTTAGCACCCAGCCTACCAGTGAGGACCACCGAGAAGAAGAAGAGAAAGAAGGCGAGGCGGACCCGAGCACAGGAGACATGAGTCGTACTAAGGTCAGTAGCAGAGAGGACTGTTTTAATGCATAAGGGAATGCAACTTCCTCTATTCTCTTCAGCACCAGCTGCACATTGCTTCCCCTTCCTCTTTCTCTTACTCTCTGCCACCTTGTATTTCCTAGCTAAGTGAAAGGAGGTGTGTTTTGAAGTAAGAAGGGTTTTGGTGGGCAGGGTGGGGGCTGGCTTTCCTTCAGAGAGGCTGAGATGTAGCCTTCCCCCTGGGCCAGGAGGAGAGGTCAGATTTACAATTAAGGCAAATATCGCAAATTCAGTCAGCCATCATTTTACTGACTGCTCAATCTTTCTTAGGGAGGATGGGTTATCTGCTTCTCTGAACTATCTTGCCAAAGGAGGCAAGTAATATATACTTAAATATTTTAAAGGTGAGAATTTAAGGAATTGTATTATTGTCAAGTTAAAATGCTGAACGTTGAAATGCAGTTGGACATAGCACTTTAGAAATCTTTTATCAAGGTTTCTAAAGAGCATCCGGTAAGAAAAGGTTCAAAAAGGATGATGCTATTTTTATCTTATTAAACTTATTAGAAATGTTGTTTTAAGGTGTCCAAAAATGACATGAACAAATGTCATTCAAATGTCAGTACACACTTTTATTGAGTTTGAATAGCACTCCAAAAACAGCATTTTTGTTTTTGTTGTAAAATGATATGATAAGGTCCAATTTTAAAGCGATAAATGTTTGGCATTATGCTTGGAATAATTAATACATTATCAAAATTGTTGTCACTGATTGTATCAATTGACCAATGTAACCCAATGTGATAAAACCAGTTAAATAAAAGCAGAAGAATGTTGTCAAATAAATGACCTTGATGTTTAAAGCCCTTTAGCAAAGGCTTGGACACAGTGGCTCCTCTCTCTTATCCAATTAGTGTTCACACTGAGTTGTTTTGACGTGTGCTCCATGCAGTTGGATTGCTTCATGGTAATTATGAGCAGCCTCAGATGGGCTCGCAGTGTTTTCATGTCAAAGCCAAGGCCTGCTTGTGTTGTGATGCCTTCGGTCTGGTTTGCATCCTGCAGAAAAGTTGATCAGCTTGGTTTATTTAGCCTCCCTACCTGCTGCTGGACTGCCTCCCTGCGGAGAGACAGTCTGAGGGAGCCAAGAAAGGCATGCTTTGACTCTGTGGGGGTGTTTTGTACGTCAATAAAAATGCAGTTTTACGCTCATACCAGCCTGGTCCACAAAGGTTTTCAGCCATGTCGAGGTGTTTGTTTTATTTTATCATTTCAATTTGCATTTCCAGCAAAGAAAAGGAGTTTCTTATGATCAGAAGCATTTGGATAAATTCAAATAGTTGTTTTACTAAATGGAAGATACAGTATTTTCATAGGACTTCCTCCTATATTGATGCTGGATGGTAGGCTGTATAGACACAGGGCAAGATGTCACACTCTAATAAAATCTGGTGCATTATTTTTCTTATGAAGCTTTCCATAGAATTTTAAATCAAAGCTCATAAAGAATGTGTTGGCTTTAAATCAGTTCATATTTCTGCCTAGTTAGAATATGTTTTTTATTTAAAATGACATTGAGGTCTTTGGTTTTATATTCAGTTTAATAGCAAGGTACCTCCCTTATTCTGAAGTGTGTTAAAACAGATTCACACTCATTACACAATATCCCATTGCATTGCTCTGAGCGATCACCTTGCTCCATTGTGTGTTTGTGTGAGTGTTCGTGCGTGTGTTCATGTTCACACCACTATGTGTAGCACGCAGTCCGCCTCCACTACTTAGCACTGTGCCAGTGTTAACGTGTTCCAAGCACCCCTCTCTGCAACACACACACTTTTGCAGAGCTGCAGGGCTCTCCATGAAGCAACACATTCTATAAGAGATCAGTCCAAGCTTTGTCTTCCACACACTGTACAGCTTGGATATCAATCCACTGCCATGGGACAGGTACGCTACATGTGAATATGTGTGTCTTTTAATCATTGACCATTTATTGGGCATAAAAACTAGCTCCAAGGCCACCTGTATTTTTCTCACACCCCCCTCCTCTCCCTACTTCTGCCCATCAGAGCCCGAGCCAGGACCAGTCTGCAGACAGATCAGCAGCCGAGGACAGGTGAGTGATTCACAGCGTCATCATCCAACAGCAGAAATTACTCTTGATTGTATTAGTTTTTTTACAAATGGTGTATTATGTGTGTGTTCCAGCACGTGTCTGCTACCCGTGTTGGTTGAAGAGGAGGAGAGTGTGCAGGACGGTACAGCAGAGGTGGTGCCAACAGTATCCGCCAGCATGGAAGGTAGGGAGTAAAACAGTATGCGTGAAGATGAAGCGAGATATTTCTTAAACTGACTGTTTGTTTACGCCTTCTTGCAAGCACGTGTAACGTTGACCACCCACACACCAACTCTCCTTCCAGAGACTGACCGGTTCACCAGCAGCTCTCCTCACTCTGGATCGTCCGTCACACACGCCAGCCAATCGGGGAGTGGCGTTGGCAGCGTGACCTCTGACCCCTGCCAATCTGAGGATAGTGCAGCCAAAAAAGACTCCCTCCCCCTCGGTGGCAAAAAAAAGAGGGAACTGGTAAGACCTGCTTTCCTGCCATTTCTCCTCAACTAAGTGTTTTCACATAGTAATGGCGACATGGATTTGAAGTTATTTGCCTGACTACTGTCGAACTTGACCATTGTTTGTGTGTAAATCAGGGTCATTATACTGAAGTTAGTGCTTTTTTATCAGTTCTCACATTAGGTAAGGTATAGTAAATACTACCAGAGCAATAATGGAGTTCTCAACTGATTATTGGGAGGCGTGTGGCGCAGTGGATAGAGCCTTGGTGTTGGGATCAGGGGGTCACAGGTTCAAACCCCACTGCAGTCAGCATGTCGTTGTGTCCCTGAGACACTTCACCCCAAATGGCTCCTGTGGGGATTGTCCACAGTATTGAGGATGTAAGTAGCTTTGGATAAAAGCGTCTAACAAGTGACATGTAATGTAATTTTGTAGAACAATCAATTTATAGAAGTTTGGTAACATTTGCCACACACAAGTATGGCGATTTACAAATGTGCACATTAGTTTGGTTCCCTTTTTTCATATTTTCTTCGTAATGCATAATGTTTTCTATTCTGTATAAAAAAACAAATAACCGGCTCAGAGCAGATTTGATCCAACACCAGGATCAGGCCTAACGGAGTGGGTGTTATTCAGATTAAATGCCCTTGTAAGTGATGAGATTGTGCCAAAAGTATCTGATTTCGCATGACTCTTTGACCTGAACAGAAATGCTGTCTTTCCAGCTATGTGAGTGTGTGCATGAAAGAGAGGAAGAGGGAGTGCATAGTTTCATTTAGGCTCCACTCAGGATCAGATTATTCAGAATCAAGAGCCAACTGCACTGCCAGCATGTGTGATTCATCACTTTTCATCTTTAATATGTAAAAGCTGTTGAAGAAGTAGGGAGTGAGTGAAGGGAGCAGTATGGATCTTAAGGGGAACGGGAGCATGGAGGCATCAGAGTCAAAGGGTGGTCAGGAGGTGAAGCAGAGCGAGGCAGTAACGTGTGTCGGGGCCCTGCAGGAGCGGGAAAGCAGCATGGAGGTAATCGAGGAGCGCAAGGTTCAGGAGGACCAGAGTGAGAGCAGCGTGGCCACGGACAAAGGATGTATGTGTAAAACTCTCGTATCCTTATTATATTTATAATTTACCACCTGTCTTTTGATTGTAAATTGGGTGTTTTTTGTGCCATTTATTTAACTGAAAATCATTTCCCTTTCTAGGTGATATGTCGGGAAGCAGTGGTACCGCCATAGCGGACAAGACCAGGTAAGACCGAAAATGATAATAGTAAAAACAACTTGACTATTAAATCCATAACCATTCAAATACATGTAATCAGATTTGTCCTGTCAATGAGTCCTCATTGCAGTTTCTTTATCCAGCACCCTGTCGCCTAATGACAAGGAGATTGAGGTATGTACACAACTAGATCTAGGAGACACTTTTTTGACCATTTCTTTGTCTTGTTTGTCTGATGTAGGAATTCTCATTTTGCATAATTCTCTTTAAACCTTTGTCGGAATTAAATGTACATAAATCAGAAGAATCTAAGTACAAATTTAGCTTGCATGTTACTAAGGTTGCACTTCTCTTTGAAACCCATACAATAAC